CCCATTCACAAGAGAAACACTTGAGAAAGTCCTTAAAGCGTGTGACCATCTATGTAAATGCTGGTGAGTTCCAAGGGCAAAATGTCTCCTTGTTAGATCTTCTCTTCTCTAAACACATCCCCCAAGAGAAGAGGCAGGAGCTCCTGGCGTTGTATAGAACAAGGGTTTTAAGCATTGATCAGATGATACCCATCATCACTAGCATCATAACAACAACAGAAGCTACAAGTAGGCAATTCATGACAAGTGTCAAAAGTCCAAGCAGAGAGGAGATAACTTCGCAGGAAGCTGTAGCTGCCCATTCTCCACAAGATACACAACTGGACAACATCTTAAAAGCTACAACCATAGATGGACCTGTCAGTGAGTTCCAAGGGCGAAAGGTCTCGGTGTGGGACCTGCTCTTCTCTAGCTACATCCCTGAAGAGAAGAGGCAGGAGCTCCTGGAACTGTACAGAGCTGGGATATTAACCACGGACCAGGTGATAACCGTGGTCACCACCCTCATTAAGAAAAAAGAAGCTACAAGCAGGAAATTTGTGATTAATGTGAAAACTCCCAGCAAAGACACGATGACCTTAGAGAAAGCTGAGGACGTTGACTTACATGAAGATAAAAAACTGGAAAAGGCCTTAAAGTCTACCCTGGTGGAGATGCCGGGGGGCGAGTTCCATGGGCGAAAGGTCTCGGTGTGGGACCTGCTCTTCTCTAGCTACATCCCCGAAGAGAAGAGGCAGGAGCTCCTGGAGCTGTACAGAGCTGGGATATTAACCATGGACCAGGTGATAACCGTGGTCACCACCATCGTAACCAAAATAGGAGCAACAAGGAGAAAACTAGCAACAAATGTGCACAGTCCAAGTGCAGAGAGGGCCCCATTGCAGGATGCTGATGCTGCCTATGCCGAGAGAAATGAAAATCAGGAAATGGCCTTAAAGTCCACGACAGTCGACGGGCCGAGGGGCGAGTTCCAAGGGCCAAAGGTCTCTGTGTGGGATCTGCTCTTCTCCAAATACGTCCCTAAGGAAACAAGACAAGAGCTTCTAGAGAAACACAGAGCAGGGACGCTCACCACTGAGAAAATGATAACCAGCCTCACCACCAGTGCCTCACACGCTCTGGAGGAGGGTCTCTCTCCAGATAACCAACAAATACTGAATCTCCTACAGTCTGAATCCTATGTGACAGTTGGCCAGTTCCAGGACCAAAGGGTTTCTGTCTGGGAACTTCTCTCCTCTAAATGTGTCTCCCAGTACAATCGGGAGGTGCACTTGGATACATACAATGCAGGGAGGTTAGCTGTTAATGAGATTACAATCACCACCACCGTCATTACAGGATCAGAGGGTAAGAAAGGGGCTGCCAGGAACAGTGAACAGCACTAGCCAGGAGGTGGCATAAGCCCGGGGCTGCCCCCTCCCAGAAGGACACAGGATGGACACCTGCAAAGAGCTTAGCGGGCTCTTCCCATTTTATACCGCTAGCAGCAGGGAATAGGAGAGCAGGAAGTCTTAACCCAGCAAAGAGGTGTGCAGAGAATGGGAGTCAGCGTCCCGTCCTGGTCCCCACGGGTGGTTACCGTACTGAGCATTACAGTCTGTGGTTTAACAGGGGCAGCACAGGAGTTCCACTCTTCTTGTTTACTAAACATATCTACAGCTCCAGCTCTTCGCCTGGACCCTTACAGACACCCCCAAATGCCACCGTCTGTGCCCCAAAGAGCCAACAAGCCACGGCACCAGCCGGCAGCGCAACGCTAAGCGGTGATCCCCCATTCGGTGGCTCCGGCAGCTGGAAGGAGGGAACTAGAGTCATTGGAAATGAAAAAGGGAAATGGGGCACGTGGATCACACAAAGCACCAGCAGTCTGATCAGCGCCAAGAGCGGATCTGAAAACGGCACCCCAGGGCCGGAGGGGGACCATCGCCTGCAGAGGGCAGCCAATGACCCTGTATCTCCAAAAGGAGGGACCAGCAGGGGGGAAGGGAGGACAGACCGTGGACATACAGTGGCGTGCTGGGCATTTACGTGTGCCTGGTTGGCCAGGCAGAGTTGGCACCTCCCAGTCAGAGGGACAGGCTGCGGTCTCCCCTCTGCACCAGGGGCTGCTGCTCCCTGGGGTACACTCAGCCACAGGGCACAGAGGGAGGTCAGTTTTCATGGGGGAGGAGCTCAATGGGGCTGGCGCTTGCTGGGGAGGGGAGAGGGCATGTGGGGTGGGGTAGCCGCTGGCTTTATCCCCGCAGGTTGTATTTTACTATGCAATAGTGACCCCAGAGCGCGGGACAGGGTCTTTTCTGCACATACCCACAGGAGCTCAGCAATAAATGGCCCCACAAGAGTGTGTACAGCGAGCCGCCCTGCTGGGCCGTTCCTGGGGAAAGGCTCCCCTGGGCCAAATCAGCACCAGGGAAGTTAGAGACCCCTCTAGGCTGCGAGCGCTGGTGCCAGACCCAGCATTTGCACCTGGGAGCTCCCCTGCCCCGTGCCTCCCCCCGCCCCCCCCGACTCCTGCTCACCCGGGCTCTGAAAATCAGGTCCTAGGAGGGGACTTGAGCTGGGCTCCCAAAAATGGAGACACCCAAACTTACACGTCACTGTGGAAACTTTGGCCCCAGGCAGATGTGTGAGGCAGGGAGCCAACAGCAGCTGGGTGCCCAGGGACCCTGGCACTGCAGGTGAGGGGTGAGCAGCCTGGGGTACCTGAAAGGAGCCTGGGGGGCAGGGGGAGTAGAGACACATGGGGGGCAGAGGAGCCTGGGGCAGGTGTGGGGGTCAGGGCCGGCACGAGGTGTCTCCCCCTGCTCCCTGCCACCGCGGGCCATAGCCTCAGAGCCTACCTGCCCCTTCCAAATAGGGGGTCGGACTCAGCAGGTGGCCCAGTGAGATGGGAGGCACCTACGCGGCAGCCCCTTGATGGCCCTGGCTGCACACTGGGGCTGGGGCATGGGCTGGGGAAAACGGGTTGCAGGTGTGTGCATCACGCCAGATGCACGACGCTGGCAGCCCTGCGTGGTGGGGACTCCAAGCTGCCTCCCGCTGCAGCCGGCCGGCCGTGTGTCTGGTGCCGCTGTCCCTGCACTGTCCTGGCGTGTAGGGCTCCCTCAGGGATTGCTGCTCCTTCGGGAGAGGGCCAGCCCTTCGGCCCCTCAGCGCCCCCACGAGGCCTCTCAGCCCCCTGCACTGGCCCCAATTCATAGTGTCCAGCCCGGAGGTCAGGCCCCCAGGAGTCCTGGGATTTGCTGGGTTCCTTTCACGTGGGTTCTGGCCTCAGCACTGCTGGGGCACCGTGGTCACCCGTCCCTGCTCCCCTCACAGCCACGAGGGCGAGCTGCTGAGACCCCCCTGTGATCATGGGCTGGCAGCTCTGCCATCTCCCCGAGAGGGATCTGGGGCCAGAGGGAGGCCCTGGCTGACCCCAGCCATAGGGGGAACCAGTCTCTGATCCGGGGCAGGCGCATGCCCACTCCACGGCCTCAGGCTGCTTAGAACCAGGGCACCACGGGGCCAGAAAGGCCCGCAAGGCCATCTAACCCCCTGCCATGATGCAGGGTTCTTCCTATGCCGCTGCGCCCCTCCTTGTGCTCAGTGGTCACCCTGCAGCTCAGCCGGCACCTCCCCACAGCTGTCAATTGATTTGGGGGCCTGTGGCCACAGCATTCCCCATCCCAAACCCCAGCCCTGAGCTGCCGTAGCGAGGACCTAAGGAACCATGTGCATTGGGGGAAGCAGTGTCAGTCTCACAGCCCCAGCACCCAGTGTCGGAGACCAAGGAGAGGGGTTAGACATACACACAGTGCCTGGTGACTGAGAGATGAGGGCCCTCTTGTGTGTCATGGTCCCTCACAGCAGGGGGCTCCGCAAGCCCCAAAGGCAGTGGTTCCAAACTGGGGTTCGTGAACCCCTGGGGGTTCGCAAAATGTTACAGGGGGTTCTCGGGGAAAATTCCCTAAAGGCGGTGTGACAATGCGGTTCTGGCGGAACCCAACTGAGAGTGCCAACTCAGGACAAATTGCTCAAACAGGGCAGTTACAGCCCTAGGCTGGGGTTTTTTCCACCTCTAAGGCAAACCAAACCAGCCAGACTAAGAGGACTTCGGTCTCACCCCACTGGCTAACCGCAAGTCTCACAAGCAATCTCCTTAGACACTCCAGTTTCCCAGTATTACCACCAGTGCCACTCGTTATGGGGACAAATGGTTATGAAAACCAAGACCCCAGTAAAGAAAAAGGTTCTCCTGATCCCAAAGGACCAAGCCCCAGACCCAGGTCAATATACAAATCAGATCTTACCCACAAATCACGCTGTTGCCAATCCTTTAGAATCTAAAATCTAAAGGTTTATTCATAAAAGGAAAAAGAT